ATACAATTAACAAATATTAATATCTTTTTCATAGAATAAGTTTAAGCAAAGACAACAAATTTCCACATAAAATTGCATAGACTTAAGTCCAAGCCATAGGAAAGACTAGAGGGCAATGTTTCTTGGAAAACATAGGGAGGTTATCCATTCCTGTAATGGGTTGTGGAAAGGAACTAAATAGGGGGATGAGGGATGCGTTCAGTTCTTGGATTGGAAAGAAATAGAGCACAATAATTGTGGAAGGAATGTTTAGTGTATTGTGTAGCCATACTTAGTTACATAATGCTCTTTACAGCAGAAACCATAAAAGTTTATTCAGAAGAGGGAAAGAGAAGCACATTTGTGGGACAAGCTTAGTGATTCAAACTTGTATGTGAGGTCAGGTGAACTGCTTACTTTAAAAGTTCGCGAGAAAGTTGTCTCCTGAATTGCATCAATAATTTAGTGGAGGAACTACTCTAGGTATGAGCAATTTTCAAGAGGAAGGCGAATAAGACTTTGGTAAAGCAGATTAGGTGTAAGCTCAGATAATACACTACCTTGGCAAACAGGAAGACACATGATCTGAGTCATACTTATTGATGTTCAGTATTTGATAAACTTTTGGAACCTGTTTATTCAAGATCAAATGAAGCGTAGGATTTACCAGAGGAGAAATAAGAGGGGTCAAAAAACGAGAAAAAACTTCGGAAACGAGTCACCGAAGTTGATAAGAAAAATGCGTGCAGAAATGATGCCAATAACATTAGACAAGAAACCTAAATTACTTTCACTATCACACCAAACCTACAATACGGCCAGGGAGTGTCCAGCCACACACTGCCCATCGCCCTCTTGATACTTTCTCTTTAAGTTCAATATTCTGAAGCCCTGGCTACGTGTGAGGATTGTATTGATGAGCGCCATAGTTACCTAGCTGCTGGCCATGTAAGAATAGTGGTTGTTTAAGATTCAGCTACTGGGAACAAAAAGTTCAAAGTAGCACGGGCTATGGTGAGCCCGTTGTGAACTTACCTGGCACAGGAGCGGGGCTGTAACTTTTTTTAAGAATGGTAAAACTGTGGCCTCCTGCTAGTTTTTATGAGGTATTGCCATGTTTGGGAGGATGGGTGGGCTGGCGGCAGGTGGCAGCTAGGCTGTCTATTACGACAACATCTCCCAAGCGCTCTGTAGCCTATCAAAACAATGGCGTCGTTATATTCTTATGAAATCTGTAGTTAACACTGTCTTGCAAAAGTTTTTTTATTATTATTTTCTACCACAGACGTGACCAGACATTTACAATGCTAACCAGCATATATATGTACATTTTCTTTTGTCCTCCATGGACAGGGTGAGAGATTTGTCAAACATATAGTTCAGGGATTTATTGAACAATCAACCACAGGAGGTGATTGTAGTGCTTTTAAAATGCTAGGCTGTGTGTGTGTGTGTGTGTGTGTGTGTGTGTGTGTGTGTGTGTGTGTACGTACGAAAACTTGTTTGACAACAAGTTTAACGTTACTATGTTATCAAATATCTCTTAAAAGGTAACAAAAGCATTAAGCACGATGTTATTACATTGAAGCATCAGACTTGTGTAATAAAATATACATTATTACATGTAGTAGTAATGTAATATACATTATACAATTGCCGTATTTAAGTTAAGGAGAGTATGATATTAAGGGGCACTTTGGATTTGGATATTTGTAGTAGTAATTTTGTTATAATCTATTGTTATTTGCATTGTCTTAACAGGAGAATAGGTCGAGACAGAATATTAAAATATTCATATCGAGGCCAGGGAATAACAGTTATAACATATAACTACCTATAATAATACCTATACCGCAGGGAATAACTACCTGCGATAGTTTTTTTTTTTTTAACTATATGAATTGAAATTGAAATAAGTTTATTGAGGTAAAATACACACAAAGGGATGAGGTAGCTCAAGCTATTCTCACCCCGTTCAGTACATCGTGTTAATACATACATAGACACACATCACGAGCAATAAACGTATTACCAAACATTCTGAGAGCTAAACATATACATTTTGTTCCTTGGGAGCGAGCATCCTTGATGGCTGGTCCATGAGGTTGTCCTGTCATCCCTCAGGTCCACACTACATCACACTCGCTGACATGATTCCAGAAACCTGCGAACTTCTCTCTTGAAACCTTCATCTTTTTATTCCATTAATATTTCTTAAACCTTTTGGTTGATAATGGCAGAGTCCTAGTACCTGGTTGATACCTGGTTGATGGGGTTCTGGGAGTTGTTCTACTCACCAAGCCCGGCCCGAGGCCAGACTTGGCTTATGAGAGTTTGATCCACCAGGCTGTTGCTTGGAGCTGCCCGCAGGCCCACATACCCACCACAGCCCGGTTGGTCCGGCACTCCTTGGTCCTCTAATGTTTACACATTGCAGTGACTGTGCATATAGAGCTCATATTTTTGTTGCTTATTTTATACATCTTGCCATGTCATACATCTCCACAATGTTGCACATTTATTGTGCAGCATTGGAAGCTAAACATCCTGTGTATAAGCCAGGATGTCTTTCCTCTAGTACAGATGTTGCAATTAGTGCTTAAAGGTGATCTCAATAATAGGTACCAAACTTATCATAAACGAGCAGTAAATTGATTAATTCTGCGTATTTCTTAATACTGGAACCCCATCCCGGCAATGCTGTTCCTTTTTGCATGTCACATTTTCATTTAACATAAATGTTTAGTTACACAAAGATGGTAGTTATGCGAGTGAATTAACTAGAGCTCAGAAGATATCCAACAGGGAACGCCCCTGTAGCCTAGCCTAGCGCTACACGCGGCCCCGCCCACACTATCAAGCTATCTGGTTTAACTCCTGCATTTTTGATGCTACACCTTTTTGTTTTTTTCATTCCCCCTCAAAAAAGGTTTTCCCAGAAACTTTTGATGTTTACAGACGATGGAAAATGTTGACTGATTATGGTTGAAAATGTTTTGAAAGGAAAACCTTGTATGGGCACCGAAAAATGGGAGTCTGAAAATGTAATTGGTTCCCTAGACTTCCCTGAATGATCAACTCCAGTGTCCTGACCAAGCACATTATACATTCGTCATGTACATATAAATATACTCCATAAGACGGGTATGCATATAGAGTATTTGTATACGGTACAAATGTATTCAATTGCCGTTCATAATTCTGAATTAAATATTCCTGCTAAAAACAGTTCATACTGGCTTAGAATATTTTCTTTATAATTAACTTGCCTGTCTCCCTCATTCCCCTTCCACCTTCTCCATCTCTGTCAGTATCTCTCTCTCTCAACCAACATGCATCAGGAAGCTGTTGGCAAACTTGGTGTTAATGTCTCAAAATTTTATTTCCTGATGTGTGTAGACTTCAGATCCCAAATGGCAAATTACTCCCGTCACGAGTCTTATCAGTGACCATAAACACCTCAAATTGCTTCAATTACCAGCACTTGTCTAATTCGTATCTCTGGAGATAGTAATGCTGCTGGGAGTACAATTCTGAAGGGTGGAGCTTTTCTCTTGTTTTCTAATGTCATTAATTCTAGGTTTCCTTCCTCTTCCCCCCTCTCCCACTTGTTCGTTCCCTTCCCATTCTACTCTTCCTACATCTCGTCCATCCCCATCTGCTCCTGTTCCTGCCCTACTAATCTCCCAGTCGTCCTCGCCTCTTCCGGCTTCTTCATCTCCCTCGCCCATTCTTTTGCTTGCCAAGTTTCATAGCCTCTTTCCGTTCCCTTGTAGCAGCTGTTAATCTTCCCCCATCTCCTAAACCCTCACTCACCCATTCCTCACCCCCACCCTAAACCCACACTCACCCATCCCCCCAACCACACCCTCGACTCCACCAACCAAACCCACTTCCTCTCCCCCCCCCCCCCCCCCCCCCCGCGTCCACTCCCCTTCTGTACGTCATCTCACCCCATCCTCTGCCCTATTACCCAATATTTTAGTTATACTGTAGGCTATATGCGGCTGATTTTGGCTTCGTTTTCAGAGTTTATGTAGGATACAGTGCTGGGCTGAGCTTTGCTGAGCGCGTCCAATGAGCAGCAACATGCTTTACACGAGTATTAAGTGTTTTTCCTGCCCGAAACGCTTTGCGTAATAGTGACTTTAGGCATTGTATGCCTAAGTATGTAGTATGTATGTAGCTCTATCAATAAGTCCATCAACGTTTTGTATCTATGTATGTACTTTACCTGAATAAATATTTGTATTTGAGTGACCAAGTCGTGGTATTGGGCCGCACCGTGACAAAACGGCAGCGTCTGCTGAACGAGTTAGTAACAAATGTTTTAGCATAGAATATGGACGAGAGTTAGACTTGTATTATCTTGGGTACCTGTAGAGACTGTGTTCAGGGAACCTCAGCAATAGTGAGGTGCTGCAGTCTATGAGGCGCACTTCCAGTGTGATTACCAGCATACCAAGCTACACACCTCAGGAGGTCTGGTAGCTGAACGGACAGCGCGCAGGACTCGTAATTCTGTGACCCTGGTTCGATTCCCGAACCAGGTAGAAACAAATGGGGAAAGTTTCTTTCACCCTGATGCCCCTGTTACCTAGCAGTAAATAAATTCCTGGAAGTTAGACAACTGTTACGGAGCTGCTTCCTGTGGGGGGAACATTAGTTAGTAGTTACAGTTGATTGATAGTTGAGAGGCGGAACGAAAGTGTGCAATAGTGTCTAGAAGTTCGGTAGTGCACATTTAGACATGCTCAGTGGTTGACGAGTCCTTCTTAAAATCCTTGCGAGCCGGAGGTGACTGGGACGTTTGACTAATCTTCTACTTCCGGATTGACAGTCTTTCCCTTCCGTTGGTGGTCAGATGTTGCTACTTCTGAAGTTTCAAATCATTGTTAGCCATATACGAGTGGTTAAATTACACATGGTTAAATGTTCCCCGTTATGTTGTGTTTCGTCATATTTGTATTTTGTATAGAAACTTGGCGTTGTCTATAACGTGTTCTATCTTCTTTTTCCAGATACGGAGTGCAAAGCGGGCATAAGCGATAAGCCCAAGAGAGAGCCGGCCGTCATTGTCACCTCATCACCCATCAACTCCAGCGCCACCACTACTACCACAAACAGTAGCCACCACAACACCACAAACGGCAGCCACCACAACACTACCACAAACGGCAGCCACCACAACACCACAAACGGCAGCCACCACAACACCTCTACAAACGGTAGCCACCACAACACTACCAGCGGGGAAACCAAAGATGGGGTGGAGACGGAAGAGGTGAGCGCCACCTCAGAGGCTAAGAAGCCTTTGCCCATGGCCTTCACAGTGGAACTGGGTGGAGGAACAGGCGGAGGCGATCTCAGCACCACCAAGAAACTGGACATCACCGCCTCCATCAGCAAGTGGGCGCCTAAACACAGACGAAACCTGAGCTTAACCAAAGTCGACGAGCACAAGGTAAGTTACCTGAAAGGAGGGTAGAAATTACTACAAGCTACTCTGGTTTCGAGATATATTTTATAATGGGGATTTACCTGTGGTCAGCGTGCCTGATGAGCTGAGCCCTTATATGCTGTGGTGTTTATGGCATGTAATTGAGCACCCTTATGTGCAGATAACCATGCCAGCCTCAGCTTAGGTCAAATGAAGACACGCTCATCTGATCTTCACATGAACGTCTTCAAGTTAGTCATTACAAGTTTTGTAATTTTGTTAACGAATGTTGGAATGGTGAGTTATACCTGGGGTGGTGCTGCCATAAGAGGACAAACAGACGGGTAATATTCCATTTTTTTCTTTTAACATTTACCTGAGGACCACGATCATTAATGGCCTCGGCGAGGACAAAGCCGACGGGTTGTGATGGGTCCCCCCATCTCTCAGTACCGCGCACAGGGAGCCATAACCTAGTAAACCGTATTAAAAGCTTTCACATCGTATTTATATCTTATAAAGTCTGGTGAAGTGAGGTCCTTTGGTGGCTTCTAGCGCTCACAGTTTACCTGTGGTTTGGGGAGAGAAAAGAGGAGTAAGAGAAAGAGATTCTAAGGAAAGGTTTAGCTAAATTAAACATCCTATTCTGAAGGTGATCTTTGACCTGACCCAAGTGCCGACGAGCCTAGTTTGGAATGTCTGGAGTTGCCAGGTCAGAAGTCAACATGAGCAAGGGTGACGAGGGTGCAAGTTTACCAGACTGTGACTAACACAGTAAACCTTGATCTGAGCCGGAGAGAGAGATGGTTTATGGGTGGTGTGATCTTGCCCAGAGTGGTATATAGATGAAGGTATAACTCGGGTCAGTACGGGCTCACCATAGCCCGTGCTACATGGACACTTCGTTCTGAGTAGCTAAATCTTAAACTCGGGTCAGTTTAGTCAGGTGCAAGGCCGACCGACGGACAATTCATCCTGCATATTGAAAACTGTGCACCCGTAAACTTTTTGTTAGTGTTGCAATTTGTGTTAGTGTGGTTAGAGCAATAAGTGAGAGGTGGTGAAACATGCTGGACGTTGTTAGTATACAACCCGTTCTCGCAAATTTAATAAGTCAATATTGACTTATTAGTTGCGTGCATAGGTGACATACTAAACATAATAGTTTCCCTTGAAAAGCTTCATAGAAAACACCGACCTTACCTAACCTACTTAGTATGTTATAATAAGCATCTTATAGCTTCGTAATTACAATTGTTACTTAACCTATTATAGTTATAGGTTAGGTAATAATTGTAATTACGAAGCAATAAGATGCTTATCTTAACATACTATGTAGGTTAGGTAAGGTCGGTGTTTTCTATGAAGCTTTTCAAGGGAAACTATTATGTTAAGTATGTCACATATGCACATATTTAATAAGTCAATATTGACTTATTAAATTTGCGAGAACGGGTTGTAGTATATGAGGTCTAACCAGGATATAAAGTGCTCAAGTGACTCAACAGGTATTTATTTCTAGAACTTCGGTTTCAACCCTTTTAACCCTGTCGTAGCTCAGTCGATTAAGGCAGTGTCTGGGATGCTCCCGGACGCAGGTTCGAATCCTCGTCACGGCCCTTGTGGATTTGTTCATTTATTTCTGGTAATTAATTATTCTAGACTATTAAACTAGTTTGAATTTGAAGCTTTGTGTATATAATGTTTAATCTGTCGTAGCATTTTTTACAAAGATGCGAGAGTAGTGTAAGAGGGTGGTGAATGTTCGGTGTGGTAAGCGCCTGGGACTAAGGGGAGAGTATACATCTTAAAGATGCAGTGCTTCCGTACTTAACGCCTTGGTTACTAAATATCTTTTCGTTATATATAAGTCAAATACATTGCTGATATATTTAGAAACAGTTCTGATAGCCGGTAAAGTCAACTTCTAATTACGCATGTTGCACACAATTATGGCTTGGACTATGTGTAACAACTCAACATGCCATTTGTAAATATCTAATCAGACTGGTGAAGCCTCCTTGGTGACGTCCAACTAGGGCAGGTTGCTTGGTGACATCCTTCCCAAAGCATCTACACATCTATTATGAACTAACATAGACAATCTACTAATGGTCAACTAACTAACTAACATTTCTTTTCCCACTTCCGCCGCCTCCTCCCCTCCCTGTCTGTCTGTCTATACAGGTGGTGGAGAATTTTTTTGACGAGAATGGGAACTCTCGCGCCAAACGTCGGAGCACCATCAGCCGTCTGGATGTGAGCAGCCTTTACTAACACTTGTGATTCACCCGCTTGTGTGGCAAATGTTGTGGTGGTGTGACTCGACTCTACAGTACCGTGTCGTGCTGTAGCGTGACCTGACTACAACAACCCGTTCTCGCAAATTTAATAAGCCAATATTGACTTATTAGTTGCGTGCATAGGTGACATACTAAACATAATAGTTTCCCTTGAAAAGCTTCATAGAAAACACCGACCGTACCTAACCTACTTAGTATGTTAAAATAAGCATCTTATTGCTTCGTAATTACAATTGTTACTTAACCTATTATAGGTATAGGTTAGGTAATAATTGTAATTACGAAGCAATAAGATGCTTATCTTAACATACTAAGAAGGTTAGGTAAGGTCGGTGTTTTCTATGAAGCTTTTCAAGGGAAACTATTATGTTAAGTATGTCACCTATGCACATATTTAATAAGTCAATATTGACTTATTAAATTTGCGAGAACGGGTTGCAACAACACATACAGCGTGTTGTAGTATAACAAGATAGCCGTTCCTCTTGAACATCTGAATACAAGCCTTTCCTGTAGCATTACTTACATATTGACTATATTAAAACAAACTGATATTGGTGGTCAGTGTGTGTGTGTGAGGCTCACATCACTGCAACTTAACCACTCAGCCTTGTGTGCTCTGTCTCGCTCATAAGGGTCACACTTTAATACACGAGAAACAGGTTAATGAGGTCCCCCTCAAACACAACACTTCAAACCTGAAAGGTATTGTTACTGTCAATGATCTAATGTAATGAGAGTTTCAAACATTCCCAAGCTGCGTGAGAATGATTTAATATTAAATTGTGACCCTGGTTAAATTCCAGCCCCTTCTCTCTATTTGTCACTCAGAATAAAAAATAATGTTTAGCCTATCCAGAAATCCACGGAATTCGCGTAATCTATTGAGGTTGATGCATAGAAAACGTTAATATCACGGGGGCTTTAATTTTGACTAATAGGTCGCATTTTTAACGGATCGGTCGATTCCTTAATGTGACATACTAGGAGAGAGGATGGGTTGCCAGCTTGGTCTGTCATTGGTGGTTTTTTTATTTTTTTTTCTTACTATGCACAATGTTGTTTTGTGATGTTCACGTCTACTTTAATAAGTTAACGGGCTGGCATAGTGTTCGTGGCAGGACGTGAAGCCTTCCCTTCACTGTCTCTATATCAGTTCTCTCACGACTGTAGCCTCACACTAATATGTTTGTGATATGCAGAATAACCACATGTGAAAAATAGAGATTGATTAACGCGTTTTCGGCTAATTCGCCTTCATCAGAGCAAAGTAGAATGTGATACATATCAAATTAAATCAAATGTTTATTCAGATAAAAGTACATACATAGAGGATTAGTTAAACATAATCCCTTTGTGTGTATTTTACCTCAATAAACTTATTTCAATTTCAACATAATGTTGGATTTAAAGATAGAGGTAGTATATATACTTAAAGCCACTAGTACGCATAGCGTTTCGGGCAATATATTATGATTATACACATGCCTTGCCCGTTAATTGTAGTGTGTTTGTTTTGTGTAATGTTTTGTTGTGTGGAGCCGTGTGAGGTGTGAGTGAGCACACACTGGTAATTGTGCCGCCCAGTAATTGCCTCGCATGAGTTGTGTTTATAGTTTATTAAGAAACAGCATGTTCCTCTTATCCATTATGTGTTCCATGCATATACAACGTGCCTCTTTGTTTCTGCTATTATTAGTGTATGTTAGCTCAGCCTGTTAATGGTGTATTAGTTTGTGCTTCACATATTTATTGTTTGCTGTTGCTATATATGATGTCTCTGCTACCCCGGTGTATAGTTTTATATGGGGTAGCACCGATAGGGCCTCGTAGCCTGGTGGATAGCACGCAGGACTCGTAATTCTGTGGCGCGGGTTCGATTCCCACACGAGGCAGAAACAAATGGGCAAAGTTTCTTTCACCCAGAATGCCCCTGTTCCTAGCAGTAAATAGGTACCTGGGAGTTAGTCAGCTGTCACGGGCTGCTTCCTGGGGGTGGAGGCCTGGTCGAGGACCGGGCCGCGGGGACACTAAAGCCCCGAAATCATCTCAAGATAACCTCAAGATAAGCACGTGACCCGGATCGATCCCAAATGGTTGTTCCATTTGTTCCGAGCCCCTGAATAATATAATGGACAAATTATAACACCATTGATTTGCCCCGTAACATTTCTTCTCCACCGACTTCATAAATGGGAGGGGAATTGGGGATGACCCCATATGTAGGGGGCATAAGAACATAAGAACATAAGAACAAAGGTAACTGCAGAAGGCCTTTTGGCCCATACGAGGCAGCTCCTATTCTATAACCACCCAATCCCACTCATATACTTGTCCAACCCGTGCTTGAAACAATCGAGGGACCCCACCTCCACAATGTTACGCGGCAATTGGTTCCACAAATCAACAACCCTGTTACTGAACCAGTATTTACCCAAGTCTTTCCTAAATCTAAACTTATCCAATTTATATCCATTGTTTCGTGTTCTGTCCTGTGTTGATACTTTTAATACCCTATTAATATCCCCCCGGTTATGTCCATTCATCCACTTGTAAACCTCTATCATGTCACCCCTAACTCTTCGCCTTTCCAGTGAATGCAACTTAAGCTTTGTTAATCTTTCTTCATATGAAAGATTTCTAATTTGAGGAATTAACTTAGTCATCCTACGCTGGACACGTTCAAGTGAATTTATATCCATTCTATAATATGGCGACCAAAACTGAACTGCATAATCTAAATGGGGCCTAACTAGAGCAAGATATAGCTTGAGAACCACACCAGGTGTCTTGTTACTAACGCTGCGATTAATAAATCCAAGTGTCCGATTTGCCTTATTACGAACATTTATGCATTGATCCTTTTGTTTTAAATTCTTACTAATCATAACTCCCAGATCCCTTTCGCAATCCGACTTCGCAATCACAACACCATCTAGCTCGTATCTTGTAACTCTATCATCATTACCTAACCTCAGAACTTTACATTTATCAGCATTAAACTGCATCTGCCAATCCTTTGACCATTTCAAAACCCTATCTAGATCAACTTGAAGTGATAGTGAGTCCTCCTCCGAATTAATTTCCCTACCGATTTTCGTATCATCGGCAAATTTGCAAATGTTGCTACTCAAACCTGAATCTAAATCATTTATATATATTATAAACAACAGAGGTCCCAGGACAGAGCCTTGAGGCACTCCACTTACAACATTTTCCCACTCTGACTTGATTCCATTTATACTAACTCTCTGTTTCCTTTGGTATAGCCATGCCCTAATCCAGCTTAATATAGCACCCCCAATACCATGAGACTCTATTTTTTTAATCAGTCTTTCATGTGGCACTGTATCAAAAGCTTTGCTAAAGTCAAGGTATACAACATCGCAATCCTTACCACTATCAACTGCCTCAACAATGCTAGAATAAAAAGATAACAAATTTGTTAAACATGAACGGCCATTTATAAAACCATGTTGCGACTCAATTATTAATTTATGTTTTTCAAGATGAAGACGAATTTTATTTGCTATTATAGATTCGAGTAACTTTCCCACAATAGACGTTAGGCTAATTGGTCGATAGTTAGACGCAAGTGATCTATCTCCTTTCTTAAAAACTGGTATCACATTAGCAACTTTCCAAAACTCTGGCACTCTGCCTGACTCTATTGATTTATTAAATATGGTTGACAGTGGGTCACAAAGCTCCTCTTTGCATTCTTTAAGCACCCTAGCAAACACTTCATCCGGCCCTGGGGATTTGTTTGGTTTGAGTTTTACTATTTGTTTAAGAACATCCTCCCTGGTAACTGCTAAACTCGTCAACCTGTCCTCGTCCCCACCCACATAGACTTGTTCGGCTGAAGGCATATTGTTAAGTTCCTCTTTAGTAAATACAGATACAAAATATTTATTAAAAATACTACTCATCTCTTCATCACTATCTGTTATTTGACCTGTCTCAGTTTTTAATGGACCTATCCTTTCCCTAGTCTTAGTACGATATAACTGAAAAAACCCTTTAGGATTTGTCTTTGCTTGCCCTGCTATGCGAACTTCATAGTTTCTTTTTGCTTTCCTTATCTCTTTTTTAACATTTCTAACCAGTTGTACGAATTCCTGTTCTAAAGTGACCTCCCCATTTTTAATCCTTTTGTACCAAGCTCTCCTTTTACCTATAAGGTTCTTCAAATTCTTTGTTATCCACTTTGGGTCATTAGTATACGATCTATTCAATTTGTATGGTATACTACGTTCCTGTGCTTCCCCTTCGGCATGGGGAAGGGGAGCCGACCCCGATCTGTTTATGACTGTCCCCCAACACCTACCAGTCACCCTGCAATGTTTGGTGAGGCAAGTCCCGAGTGTGTGGCTTCTAACCTTGGACACTCATCTCTTTGTTAGATACAGATGATATATTTTTGCTTCACCTGTTTATGTATAATGTGCTTGTCTATTGATCTGATCATTTGGTCTGGTTTCCCGTGGTGTGGGTCAAGAATACCTGCATTCAGGTCCCTGTAGCCAAGGGCCACACTGTGAGCACGGTCACCTAGCCAGTTGCTAGCCAGACCCCATTAGCGAGGTGTAAGGAATGGATTGAGTGACGCCGCGCTCAACAATAACTGCGCCGCCACGCTTATAATAGTGTGTCAGTCTTTACTACGGCATTCTGTTCTTTCTCTACACTTACCACATCAGACTTTACTCTGCCCATTTACCCTACCAACCTTTGTTCTGCCCATTTACCCTACCAACCTTTGTTCTGCCCATTTACCCTACCAGCCTTTGCTGATAGGGTAAATAGGGGGACCTGTCAGTATAGGGTGGTGCTGCACAAGACAGTCAAGCCGTGTACAGATCTCTGCTTCACTGACAGTCTCCTGCTTCACAGCGGGTAATAATTGCTATAATCTTCATTTTTTTTCCTTGCCAGCAGCTGGGAGCACAGTCA